ACCCAGACCTCTCCCCGTAACTGCGTGTCGGTTTCGGCGCACTCTTTACTTCGATACCAGCGCAAACGAGCGCCTTGAAGCACACAGTAGCGCCATGAACCCATGTACATACTGCTCGAGAACCGCTTTCGTAGGTAACCACCGAAGGTCTGAGGTGGCTCCTGTGCACGCATGAGAGCTTGCGCCTTGTCGTGCGCCGACCTAAGCGTTCCGATGGCACCCAGCGGTGTCTCTGGAAGCAGCTCGTCAAAGTCCACGACGGACGGCACCGTCATGTTGGCAGCAAAAGTTTGAGGCATGGTTTGATTCGAACTGTTGGGAAAGACCAGCTCGACGTGCCCACAACACGGAAAAGAACTCCCATAAGTCAGTTTCTCAGAGGGGGTGAAAATCAAAACCAGGACGTAAACAGATGATGCTGTATATTCTGGAATTGTACGGTACTCCAACATACTGATACATTCTGTACTGAAAAAATTGTACTCAACAACAATAGAAGTAGACACCATTTTCGTAAGCTTTATTTGGCTTAACAGATCACTATAAGATTTTGTCTCAAAATGTGCATGAAAATTAGGCAACGCTTAGAAGTATACATGATGGATGATTGGCAGCGGCAAATATTGGCTGAGATGCGCCGACATCACGGTCTGGCACCTCTTAAGCTCATGATGCAGTTGTGGCGCTATCGCATGTTCTCTTTAGCACAAGCCGTGTATTTTGTCACGCCCCTATAGAATTTATTGAACTTATTGCATACAATCGCATCATATCATTTTTTAGGATGAATCATTATCACATTCTATAAATCCTCCGTGCATATCATACATTTTCAGGTTTAGATAATCTTCAGCAGCTTTATTTACCTTTTTCTGTTCACAGCACCATATTGAACTCTTCAAACAGTATCCGACTCTTTAGTAGCCCCATGAGCTGACCCCTCCAAGACTTGTTTTCTTATATCCATTCAGTATAAACTTATCAGGGCAAAAGGACTCTCTCACTTACAAAAAAATGTAGGTATCATGAAACCCCGATATAATCCGATCAACTTTCAAGTGCAGTGGTTTGATTTTCTTACCTGAAGATTTACTTACCGAAATCTTCATGACAACTCTCGTTTTCAGTCAAGAGATTCGCGTCATGCTCTGGTTTGCATATGTCTTTTCGTGCGCGCACTCAACGCTCAAAAGATGTTATACACAACTCGATCTCAACCTTGCTGGTTGTAGCTCCAGTCATAAACTTAATATTAAACACCTTTGATAGGCTATTATTGCATCTTCAATGCATGTGTAGCCGCGCCATAGGGGGATAATCTGTCCATGTAATCGCTGCCACAATATGCATAGTGATGGATTGCATTTTTTTGTAAGATAGAATTCGAATGATTATGTTTACTCTCTTCATCACTTCTCATCAACACTTGTGCTCTTGCTGTATTAATTCTGTAATTATCCACTGCCGCTACGCGGCAGTGAATAATCTTAAGCCACGACAGCTTTTGCGTTGATTACCGGGTCAGCCAGCACTAATAGAAGCGTGATACGATTTCAAATTTGTGCACTGCTGGTAAAATGACCTGCTAAGTTAGGATTCCATCAAGGCTTATTTCTAGATCAAGAAAAGATCTACGGGACAGAATCATCTGCATAGAGTCAAATCAACATCTTATCGGGCTGTCAACTTTAATCAACTCTTGCTAGATAAGGTGCATATTGGACTCTTCACGCTTCTGGTCCTCCAATGAATAAGCAGATGTACTCTTTAAGTTGTCTATGCCCTGTAAGCGTGTATAAGATAAATAACAACGCAGTGATTTCTACCCACCACAATTAGAAAAATGGTCGGCCAGAATGTGCACCTTTGTTGGACCAGATAAGATTTAGACTGTACGTATACAGGCGAAACATGGGAGCGTTTTTTATATGTAACTATGTGAAGTACACGGACACATGTTTATGCAGCTGCATAGTAAGTTCATAGTTTTCGAGGCGAAATTTATTCGCCTGGAAATATTGAAGTCTCATAAATTTTTCGCCTGCGACAACAACTCATGTTGCGATGCAAAGGTCTACACTGTGTCTTTAAAGTCTGGCCACAAAGCAAAGTTTTTTGCAGTCATTGACAATACACTCAATCCCTGGTCAGAGTCTTGTCATCCAGATTCTGAAAATGTTATGTACTCACCACCATTTACCTAATGTGGCAACCTGTTTGCACAGCGGTTTCGCAACACTATTCCGATTCGTTTCATCCCTAATAGACAAAAAATAGCTGTCCGCAATACTTGACACATAAAACGACGGCCATGAGAAAATTTTAATGGTTTCTTTTCTACCCATCAGAATTCGTAAGTCTTTAATACTTCAGTTTGGTTAACCCATCAAAACATTCGAACCTCAGCGCTGTCGAATTTTTTATTTGTCTCAAATTGCTAAAATGAAAAGGGTACCTGCTGTCGCGATGTACATGACAATTTTAAAAGAAACGCAGGAGGTAGTGGGTAAACGCGACATTTTAGACTGCAGACGCTCGAGAGGCAGATACAAGTAGTTTAGCGCACGGCATTTTCTAAATCAAAGGTCGACATATTCGTGAGTTGGATAATATCAGGTATCAGCAGAGGTAAGCAAGCATCCCCCCCAACCAAAATGAAACGTCGATTTTCATTTTTCATCAGACTGCCTTTGAGCGGGGATCGATAACAATAAAATGTACCGACTTCTCGACCTATAGAAAAACTGCATGCATTGTACTAACGAAGCCCTAGATTGCAGAAGTACTTTGCTTGCTCAAACGGTTTTTGTAAGCACGGAATTCTAAGATTAATGAAAGAACAACTACGTAGACAAAAATATTACATTTCCTGAACCACGTGATGGCCTTAGAGGACTTCAATGATGTCCCACAGAATTCTAAAGTGCGATTGACATTGTAGCCATATTAGACCGTCTTCAAACAGGAAGCGACATTATCCATATCACTGGCAATCTTGGCGTTGTTGAACATCTCAAGAGATCGCCGTCGTGGGCCTGTCACTGAGAAGTTTCTTACATTGTCCCGACGGAAAGCACAATTGAAAAAGCCGCTAAGATGACAGTTTATTTTGTCGAATGTTAATTTTTCGAACCTACTGAAGGTAGGCAAATTGCATAATATGTTTGAAAAGCAGGTGAAGCTGGCGTCCATGATCTGTCTGGTATTTAAGCAGATAAGGCCGTGCACCGCTCTCGTTGGCGAATCTGTCTCTAAAATCTCAGTACGTAGAATTTAGCAATCGTGTACAATGAAGCAATCAAAGAGAGCCACCAAGAATTCGCTGTTCTTCAGCAAAACTCAAGCGCGATAAACGAAAACTTCTTTAGCTGAATTAGCCGACAGCTCAAACGATTGGCAAGAGCAACCGCTGATTGCAAGAATACTGTCAACTTATGACCTTTTGTTTGTCCAGATGTTAGTTATTTCGATAGCACCCCAAAGGTGTTTAGAGTTCTTGCGCAATCACCCTACAAAAGGCTTCACTTAGAAATTTATATAATTAAGGGGTCAGGCTAACCGATCCATGCCTACGTCAAGTGCAGCGTTGCACTCTTTAGACTGCGAGACAACTTTCTACAAATTAGCTACAAACGACAGCGTGTTTAGCCACCTCGTCCTTTAGTACACTTCTTTCAGCATCGACTACTCCCTTGTCTTTCATTGCCTCTAGTTCCGCTTGCATAAACACTTTGAGAGCAATTCGTCCAAACAAACTCCTCTTCATTTCACATATAGATGAAACACCGTCCCACACTCCATTGACCGTGCCGTCCATATAGTTCTGTGGCTGGCACGGACCGTCAATTATCTCAGTTACTGCTGGTTTCTCACCCAGTTCTTTAAAAGCCAGAATCGCTTCGTGGGGGTACACAAACCAGCGTAACCACTCGTGGGCTTGCATCACCTTCTGGTCTTCCAGGATATTGTCAGCCGACGCAGCCTTCTGGATACAGGCATCCGCCAGAATAGCTGCTTGTTTAAGATTTCTCGTACGATGAGCAGCAAGATTACAAATAGGAGTAGCACACACTGACTGGCGCACCGTATCTACATCGTCGAGCTGCATACTCGTAAGATACTTCTTGGCCGGAAATGGAGTTGTAGCGCGCGAGTTATGAAACCAAGCTCCGTTGTGCTGATTGTACTTGTACTGAGGCAAGAACTTCCAGCCATGGTCAGCCACAAAACTCACAGCTTTCAAAATGTATCCAATTTCCTCATTGTCGATAAAATACGGAAAGCTTAAGCGAGTTACACCTGGTTTGAGAATCACGTCCTGAGCAACGACTGCGTAGCCAAGAGCAATTATATGTTCTCGACTGAGACCAAGCAAGCGAGCTCCAAAGGGTCCAGCACACTGACAACCGCCGCGGGCTTGTATACCAAATAAGTCGTTCAACAGAGCACAAACAAAGTTGTGATGCAAGAACCGGCTACCAAAGCGAACAAGGAAGGAAAAGACCGGCAATTGGTCCTGATTGTCGTGACCAAGTAAGATTATGTTCGCGTTTCTTCCAAGTATCTCGCGCACGTGATGCACGTGTTGGCGCTCAAGGTTTGCGATGTGTTTGGGACCAACTCGTTGCTTCAATTCAAATGCAAGTCCAAGACGGATGCTTCCTAGAATATCTGGGGTCCCACCTTCTTCCCGTTTCACTTTATTAGCAAGGTAGGAGTGAGCCTTCTCCGTCACAAATAGCACAGTACCACCACCAGGTATTGTGGGCACTTCATTTTTCAACCATTTCGTCTTGACTACTAAGACACCGGGCGATCCAGGACCACCCACGAACTTATGACCCGAAAAGAATATTGCGTCTTTGTATGCGGTGGGGTGAGTGGGGTTCATGTCAATTTCGACGTACGGAGCGCACGTGGCGTAGTCCCAACAAGACAAAG